TCCTCAAGGATGTTGAAGAGCTGTCAAAAGCTTTGAAAAGTCAAAAACTTTGACTCCTAGAACAAATGAATTCCTGTTTTGTAATTCCTGCACTGGTTTCTTATGTAAGAGTTAGGTGGGCTTGGGTAAGTGCTTGGAGAGGTGCGTAGAATCGTAGAATCATAGAATTGTCAGGGTTGGAAGGGACCGAGCTGTGATTTCCCATCTCTTTCTGAGCTGTACCAGTAGAGAACTGGGGGTTTGTTCTGACCCCCAAACCCTAGAGCTTCAGATAAACATGAGGTCGTGAGCACCCAACTTTACCTGTTTTTATTTTACAGTCCCACCGTTGTTCCAGCCAGGGTTCATCATTCCTCACCGCTGAGCGACGCTACAGACCCGATCTCAGACTGAGTAAATTTGGGGCCCAGCATTAAGAAAATCTGAAAAAGTTCAGATCTCTGTTGGGTTTTAGTTTTCTTTTTTTTTTTTTTTTTAAAAAAAAAGGCTGTGTTTGTCACCAGTTACCACTTAGAGAGATCTGAGCTATCGATAGCTGGCATTTATAGGATTGGATTCTCCAAGGTTTTCAGTGCTCTGGACCCGATCCAGAAAAACACTTATACACATGTTTAGCCTCAAGCATGCGAGCCATCCCCGTTTGAGTTGTCGCTGGGTTGTATGAGTGGGCAGGCACCCAAAGTAACTCAGCTCAAGACGGTTTTGGGGATCCAAAGTTTGTCCCTGCATGGATGGCAGCATAAGAGCATTATGGATCTGTCGGCTTTTTCATCAGCTCCGCGTTCTTTGTAGCATATCCTTTGACATCTCAGCTCCTGGAGTTATACACTGACATGATACCCTCTTCCACCTCTTTATTTTCTTAAGAGAAATTTTGAGGCCATGTGGTTCTGGTGAATGCCTTGAAAAATTCCACTTAGAAGAGGAAAAGAAAACCAACCCTCTACACTAACCCAAAAAGAATCTCTAAAATAAGTCATTTCATCTTTACAACACAGACAAAACACAGTCCACTTACTCTTAAAAAAAAAAAAAAGGCAAATAAAAACGATCCACAATGCATACCATTGTTATTATTTTTATTATTGTTGTTGCTCTTACAATTAGAAAACAAAGCTAATGCTGCTTCCCTGAACAGGGGGTAACTTTTGCTCTAGATGAATAAACCATGGCTCTGTTGAGACATTTAATCAAACTCTGTCTGACTGATGAAACTGCTCCTGAGGGGAAAACAAAACAAAACAAAACATGTTGTACATGTTAAAGTCATTAATCTCAGGAGGATTTGAAGTTTCCTGTTCTTTCTCCCCCTCTCCCAAATCCTGTTTTCTGCTCTGTCTCCCATAGCACAGAGGACTAAGTGCCGGCTCCGATCGGCTCTGGGGAGCGGGGCGATGGTGTTTCACGACTCTCTACCCAAAGCAGGGAAGGTGAATCCTCCGTGGTGGGGCGAGGGTGTCAAGGACAAGCCATCCCAGGGCTGGATTTTCCTCCTGTGCTCTCTGAATACCTCTAGAGCCTCCTCCCAGCATCTTCCCTGAGCGGGTAGCCCGGAGCAAAGCAGCCCAAGCCCAACTCACTTGAAGGATGCTAATGGTTGTCTATAGGGATCTCTTTTCTAGCAGTCCCCTCAGGGACTATTTTATCACTTTCCTGTTAATTATATTCTGATTATTTGCCTCCTTTCCCCACCCATCTTCCCCTCATCAAGGGTTTTTGTAGCTGCACATGAAACACTCGTGGGCTGTCTGCTTCAGCGCGATTAAGACCTTTTCTCATTTGCAAACTAAACTAAACAAATGGATGGGAGTTTTCTGCAATGAATGTCGTTGGACTACCTTAGGGAGAAACCTAAATGATCTAAAGCTAGAAGAAGATGAGGATGAGTGGGGAGAATCAATCAAAAAATTATAAAAAGCTGTCTGGATGCACACAAGGTCTAAGTCCTCAGATTTGCAAATAGCGTGAAGTCCAAACTGTCTTCTTAAGTCACGGATAGTTTTTCAAATTAATAATTGCTACAAAGCCACCAACATAACACTTTTCAAGAGAGCATGCCCTTTTCCCTCAGGGGTAATAGTGTAATATTTTTAAATTAAAGTATTTATGGGAATATATCATCTGTGTTTTCCCAGCTAGTGTAAATCAAAAGAGCTGTGTAGTAGGACATGGAGCAGGGCCAAATTATACCAGCTGTTAGGAACTGGCAGGGCGTGCTATAAGAGAGAGAACTGTAGCATCACCCTACAGAGACGTGCACAATAATTAAAGTCATTTCGTTCAGGAGCTGAAAGACCTCAGTGTTTCAGGCCAAAGCTCTGAAAACTGGTTGCTGAGGGGCCAGGAGAGGGGGGGGAGACTGGTCCATGAAGGTCTTGCCCTGCTGCTAAGGATATATTTTCCTTGCAAAACTGGTTTATGACAAATGGTATCCCAAATATCTTTCAGTCCACATAAGAAAATAGTAGAGCAGCTACATAATAAAATGAAAACAAAACAGAAAGCATCGCCTCCCTCTCATAGAAAGCCATTTTCTGAAAAAAAAAAATTAGAAAATGCCAGTGCATCAGGAGAGAGTTGACCTTAACCTGCTGGGTGAAGCAGAGGTGTGTGACAAGGGAGGATGCGGTTGGTCAGAGCTGAGCGTGACTCTCATCTCAGTAAGATGCATCACCCTGGGCACGTTGCTAATACAGGGTACATCCACTCTGGAGAAGGACCCTGAAACTCAGGATTTATGGAAAAATGTGTAACGGTGCTAATCTGTAGACCAGCAGCCTAGGACATGGGTTTGGGGCCACATGGACTCTTAGCTCAAAAAAGCGGAATTCAAATGAAGCCCTTGATGGATTATCTAGTGCAGCCAGCAGAGATTTTGAGCCTGGATTCCTCAAACTGCAAATCTCCAAATGCTGCAGCTATTTCAGTTCAGCATCTTCGGTTACGGACAGCCATGGGCAGAGGCAGACACAAAAGTTGAGGTACCACCATCATGGCTAAAGGTCTGCCAAGGGGTCATTTCCCACCTGACGGACCTGCAGATGCCTCATAGGCTTACTCACATCCTTCCACCCTCTGCAAAGTTGTGATTACTTCTGACATGAGAAAACCAGCTGAAGAGCACAGGTTTGACACCAGGGGAATGAATTGCAGCTGAAAACAATGCAAATATAGAACATTTCTTCCATCTTGCTATTTTTTTGCACCAAGCAGAAAGACTCAGGACATCAGCAAGGGAGCGAGATAAAGAGTCATTACAGAATAGGATTGAAACGGTAAAATTTTTCTCCGGTCGGAGCATCCCTGCCTTGTCGGCTTCCTCAAAAACTGGAAATAAAAATAAAATTCCTCAAAAGAATGAAAGTAGGCAGTTTCTTTACGTATCAAAGGAAGCCAAACTCTGGCTTTGGAGAGCAGTGGGATTTGTGCCATCAGCCTGTCTGCATGTCAGCCTAAAGACACCCACCGCTCATCACACTGCACTGCAGAGACGTTTTAGTCCACCGGCTTTTATGGGGTGACAATAACACAAACCACTGACAAAATACCAACAGCCTCTTTTTGCCTGCTCATGGCTGGGGGAGGGAAGGAGGTGAAGAGACCAAACCCTTTCCAGCAAAGCAAAAGCAGCCGAGGAGAACAAAACATCTCCAGTTTTGCTCTGTGGCCCACGATGCTTTCCTCCTCCAGCTCCCCAAAGCTGCTCAGAGACATGCCAGAGGCTGTTGCCTCCTTGAGAGCAGTTGTGTGGGGGGAAAAAAAAAAAAAAAAAGGATATGGTGAGGAAGACTGAGGTGTTATGGACATATTCCCCCCTTGAAAGTGCCATTGTCACCCCACATTTATGTAGGAGTGATTTTCTGGCTGCTTACAGCACCTTACTTGGGGAATGGGGTGTCCAAATATGATCTGAAGGACCTCGGAGGCTCTGATGTTTTCTGCTCCTGGAGCAGATGTCCTCCTCCAGCATCACCTTTCCTAACAGGGATGACCATTGCAGAAAAAAAAAAAAAAAAAAAAAAAAAAAAAAAAAAAAAAGAAGAGCACAAAGAGAAGCCAACCTAAGATAAAACCTCCTCAGCACAGCAGCTCCTCTCCACAGGCAGGAACGAGGAGTGAAACACCCACGAGAGGTATTAGTCGATGTTTGTTATTAAGCTCCTCGGGGGCACTGGGATATTTTACCAATGAGAGTGAACACTCATATAAAAAGCAAAATAAGAACTGTGACTCCTCCTTTCTCCGAGTGCTCTGTTTCGTTGTCTTGACTGTATCTTGGCTAATTCTGCTCAAAATGAAGAGGCTGGGAGACAGGGAATAAAGGAACTTATCTATCCCACGCCAGCGAGTGCCTCGAGCCACGCTCTTCTCCTGTCCTTGGGAGGAAAATCACGGTTGCTTTCCAAGTAGGAGAGTGAAACGTAATAATCTAAGATTTTGCTGTTGCACCAGTAACTTCAGCATTTATTTCATACTATTGTTAATGCTCGTTTATAATATAGCGATATATTTACGTAGGAAGTAGAGTAGACGAAAAGCGCGAGATATATCTTATAAATATTTCCGTACGTCTGCATACAAAAAGGAAATATGTACAGCCACAGATAGTGGTTCCTTTCTGCTGCAAAAGGCTGCTGCCTTGCCCAGCCTCACTCCCTACAGCCGGCACCGGACCCACTCCACTCTGCAGTTTCCTAGGGCTGGGTCAATAGTTTTCCTAGGGAAAAAAGGCAGCAGCACATTTCCCTAAGGACTCTACAGCCCAATGTGGCAGAACATTGGTGGTTAAGGGCATCACAACCAAAGGACAAGGGAGAAACAGAGCAAAAGCTGTTTCTTTGATAATTTTTTTTTAATTTTCCCACTGGATTTTGACTTCACTTCCTTATTTTATCCTAACATCTCCACTACTATCTCATGGACAGCAAAAAGTCCTTCTCAGGGTACCCTACTCTCACTGCCTCCGGGATACCAGGGGATTTTTTTTTGCATATTGAATCTGAAACCCCATCCAGACCAGACAAATCAAGGACAGGTTTTCCTGCAGCAGTAACTTCAAAGTCGCAGATCTGCGTAAAAGAAAAGTTAAAACGAGTTGTTCATTTCAGCGTATTGACTGAAGTCTTTCCACTTTTGTCATCTGGAGTGGATGCTTCCCTGCTAAAAATTAAGTCTTTGGCAACAAAGGCAGTTATTGCTGAAAAGTTGTAGTGTTTTCCCTTCTGGGGTGGTCCAAATGCAGAATATGTACCCATGCTAGAAGGCATAGGCAGGTGTGAGCATAATTTTCAAACAGAAGTTGTTTTTCTTCCTGGTGGAAAGTTTCTACTGTTTCTCAGATACTAAGGCACTTGATGACTGGACGTCATTGACAACCATAGGAAATATTTTGGAAGAAATCATCCCAAATGAGGTTTTGTCTTCTCAAAGACATTTTATTGGTGAGGGGGAAAACATCCGTGGGTTTGTTCGAGTTGGGTTTTTTTAAGGGTCTCGGTTTTACTGGTGCGATTGTTTTGGCATGGGTTTTTTTTTCCCCCTCCTACCATCTTTCTTCAAGTCCATGTCCTCACAAGATAAACGACGTCTAGACAGCGAAATGTTTTCTCTGAATAGTGCTGGGGTGCCGCCGGCGTCTCAGCTCCCGGTGGCGGAGAGAGGAGGGTTTTCATTTGCACACGTATCTCTCGACAGTCCTCTCGCACTTTTTACAGGTCACGTAGCAGCACCAGTGGTACTTGCAGTGGCATCGCTCCACCACTTTGTCCATGTAGGGGTTGTAGCCTCTGCCGCAGCACATCAAGTCGCAGCTGTCGCTCCCGTTGGAGGTCTTGTTGCACTGCCTGGAAGAAAGAAAACGTGATCAGTAAGCTTGAATACCTGCAGGGCTTGTTTTCCCAATCATTGCCCTATTGTGGGTGCTGGGACCTGGCATCGCTGCAAGGCACTGGGTGAAGCCACCACGGTTGCACCTCAGCCACAGCAGGGGCATGGCAGGGCTGAGAACACAGCCAAGCAGCCCTCTACACCTCCGAGGGAGGCAGAGATAGAATCACAGAATCATAGAATCGCAGAATCACAGAATCATAGAATCACAGAATCACAAAATCACAGAATCATAGAATCACAGAATTATTAACATTGAAAAAGATCTCTAAGATCATCTAGTACAACCGTCAACCCAATACCACCATGACCACTAAACTATGTCCCAAAGTGCCACGTCTACACTTTTTTTAACACTTCCAGGGACGGGGACTCCATCACTGCCCTGGGAAGCCTGTGCCAATGCCTCACCACTCTTTCAGTAAAGAAATATTTCCTAATATCTAATCTAAGCCTCCCCTGGTGCTACTTGAGGTCATCTCCACTTGCCCTATCATTAGTAACTTGGGAGAGGAGACCAACACCCACCTCACTGCAACCTCCTCTCAGGGACCCTGGAACCTCCTCTCAGGGAGTTACAGAGAGCTGAGGTCTCACCTCAGCTTCCTCTTCTCCAGGCTAAAGAGCTCCAGCTCCCTCAGCTATTCTTCATAAGACATGTTCTCTAGACACCTCACAAGCTTTGTTGCTGTTCTCTGGACCCATTTCAGCACCTCAATGTCTTTCTTATAGTGCCAGGCAGCTTTCCACCCAGGATGCCCAGGATTGCACTTGCAGCAGGCCTTACACAGAATCAAGGCCTTTTCTACTTCTCCGGCTGCCCTGACAGCGTATATGCTGGGGGTGCACAAGGAGTTGAGAGGGGACACAGTTTGGACAGCTGTATTGTCTATTAAACTTATTAATGTATATATAATTAAACTTACATAATACACATATATTATAAACTTATATATTAAACTTATATAATCTATATATCTTATTAATGTACATAAATATTTGAGAAGTGGGTGTCAAGAAGAAAGGGCAGGTCTCTTTTCAGTGGTGTCTAGTAATAGGACAAGGAGTAATGGGTGTAAACTAGAACACAGGAAGTTCCACCTCGTCATGAGGAAAAATTTCTTCACTGTGAGGTGACAGAGCCCTGGCACAGGCTGCCCAGGGAGGGTGTGGAGTCTCCTTCTCTGGAGACATTCAAAACCCACCTGGACGCGTTCCTGTGTGATCTAGTGTAGGTGATCCTGCTCTGGCAGGGGGGCTGGACTAGATGATCTTGTGAGGTCCCTTCCAACCCCTAACATTCTGTGATTCTGTGATTCTGACACTGAAAATAACATTAAACTCCTTTTCTGACTCTCAGTTTGGGCTCAGCGGCGTTAGGGCTGTCTGTGAGGCAAGGCAGGCAGGACCTAGCTCTGGTACAGGCAGACAAGCAAAGCTATCATGATACCTCCACCAAACCAAAAACTCATAGGCCCTGGTGATCTATGTTCCAGGCAGGCTCTAAAGCTGTCTGAAAGGAGCTGGAAGAAGATGATACCCTCAAGAACAAACACCAATGTTTGTCCAACGCTTCCTGACCTGAAAAGTATGGAGGAGGAACACTGCAGCCACAGAGTATTTACACAGGCTCTGTGCCAAGGATCCTGAGCTGAGAAATCTCCTGAGCAGGCTGTTACAGCCACTATCCAGCCCTGCACCTATGAGGGAACTCATAACCCACACTGGCAGGGCTGGACTCGGCACCTTCACCCCACCCTGAGCATCTCCCTGAACGGCAGGAGCAGCCGGGGAGCTGGTCCCATAGTACCCCAAGTCCTGACCCAGGAGCAGGCAGCACGGCAGGCGCACAGTGTAGGATGACAAGTCACCAAATATCACACGGACTGCCACTGCTTGTTTTGCTTCTGCTCTTAATGAAAGCCAGACTCGTCAGGATAAGTTGGCCATTGTGCCGGGTTCTTTTGCTTTGGCCGCTGGCAAGCGGCTGGCTTGAGGTTTTCAGAAGTAACTCATGAATTAGGGAATCTCTTTCATTGATTCATTGATCATGGATGCAAAGCTGTTCTCAAACACCAGCTACCTCATTCTCCTAAAATACTCCAAGCTGCGTCACTGCACAAGAGAGCGCAACAGGCATTGACTTTCTGGATGAGATGAACCACGCTCTAGAGATGCCAATTCTCTGTGGGCGTGAAAGATAGACCAGGGTTGAAGAGTTCATGTGTGATCAGATGCCTGGCTGGACACTAACGCTATAGGGTAATAGATCTCATTATGACATCTCTCCTAAGTCTTATTCTGCACGACTGTTTTGGACAGAAACACTCTCAGGCTGGTTTGGGGCAGGGAAAGGAGAGAGGAGCACGAGTCAGACTCTTGAGCTGAGCACTCCATTAATAGATGAAAACAAATCCATGAGATTTATAGGAATTCCTCATGAGGTAATGCTTGAGGAGAAGTTACGGGATTAATGAGGTGTTGAGGTTTTGTTCTCGTTCTTCCTTTATTTTTTTCTGGCTCAGGCAGGCCTCCTGTTTGTTTTTTCTGAGTCGCATTCCTCCTCAGCTTCAGCGTTTAAAGGCTGCCCCCCTCGGTCCCCCTCATTCGGGAGAGTGTGTAAATATTTACAAACCTTTGAAAGCCTCTACCGAAACCAAAGTCTGCAACCACGCTGAGCTTGTTTGCCCAACGCCGAATCAAAGCCGTTGTTATTGCCCCTACGAGCCGGGGCCCCTCCACCAGGAAACCTCCGAATGACTCTTCATAAATGTATTAGTAAATGCATTAAATATGCAGCACGAAGGTCCAGATATAAGCGTGTTGACATTAGAAAAGAGGAGGGTATGTGACAACCTTACTCAGCTTTACCCGGGGCGGGTGGAAATGTTGTTGCCCGGAGGTTCACCTAAGGAGGATGGGAAATCTGCAGAAGCATGGTGATGGATGTGCAGCGCGCCCGCGCCGCCTCGTGCTGAGAGCTCATCGAAATGGCCAAGAAAAGGAATACAGGTCCACTCTGACTCCAGAATCTCCATGTACAAAGCGCCCTCGACAGTCAAATTTACCTCACTCAAATAGAGGGCAAAGCTCTTCTACCTGCTGGGAGCTGGGAATTTCCCTTTCCTCACATCCACGCCTCAGGTTCCTAGGTGATGCACCTTTCCACAGCTATGCCCAACCCACTCAGCCTGAAATAAAGGAAAAAAACACAACTAAAATCCTATTAAAAAACGCCCAAGCTTCCCTCATGTTTGGATAAAGGCACAGGGACAGTCTGGATAGATGGGCTGAACGGCCAAAACAAAGCTATCGGCTGCATCTTGAACCTAAATCGGCTTCTGGAGAACTTTCCTGACAATGCCACTAACCAGAGCCTTTATCTTCTGTTTTCAAACATAGGCCTGGATGAATCATCTTTATTTTTTCTTTAAACAAGCTGAAAGAGGGGTAGTTTCTCAGTTGTATCTACAAATACAAAAAGCAAATGGAAGAAGACAAAGGAGCCCCAGGACTGGAGTTTACCCACAGAAGCTGCCCCCAAGCATCTGCTTTCAGAGCCCAGGGCTGCAATCTCACCAGGCTCCCCGCTGATGGGTTAAGTTCAATCTCATTTGTTTTGGGCCTGGTCCAGCACGTTTCCAGCAACTCAGAGAAATGCCCTCCTCCTGAGCCTCAGAGAGAAAATACGAAGGAAGGCGATTGCATCTTAACACAACACTGTAACCTCTAGAAGCACTTGGAAGACCGGTGAAAAACGATGCTTCGGTTGTAATCCCAGCCAAGGTCCTGGCTCAGGAACAGGCTTTTACATTGTCACAGTGCTTTTTCCTTCTTTATGCAAGCAGGGAGGAGGTCAGCCTTGCTGACTGGACGAATCCCACTCAATATGCCTGTCCAAAATCTCCCCTCTCCAGCCCTCGCTTGCAGAAATCCTGTGGTACATCGCACAGCCTCACCACGGGGCTGCCTCCTCAGTAGAGATGGTGGAGGACATCCCAGAACTTGTGAAAGTCTTCACAGAATCACAGAACCACAGGTTGGAAGGGAGCTCTAGAGATCCCCCAGTCCAACACCACTGCCAGAGCAGGGTCACCCAGGGCAGCCCCACAGGAACGCGTCCAGGTGGGTTGGAAAGTCTCCAGAGCAGGAGACTCCACACCCTCTCTGGGCAGCCTGGGCCAGGGCTCCGGCACCCGCACAGCCAACAAGTTTCTCCTCAGGTTGAGCTGGAACCTCCTGTGCTCCAGCTTGCACCCGTTGCCCCTTGTCCTGTCACTGGACATCCCTGAGCAGAGCCTGGCTCCATCCTCCTGACACTCCCCCTTTCCATATTTATAAACATTTATGAGGTCACCTCTCAGCCTCCTCTTCTCCAAGCTGCAGAGCCCCAGCTCCCTCAGCCTTTCCTCACAAGGGAGATGTTCCACCCCCTCCATCATCTTTGTGAGCCCGTTGGACTCTCTCCAGCAGTTCCCTGTCTTGCCCCAGATGGAGAGAGGCTAAACCACCTCACAGACACCTCCTGAAGAGATCTTTATTTTAAAACCTATGGGGAAATGCCAGAATTTTGTCATTCACTTCTGTCCCACCAGCAGATATGAGGATGGACTGTTTTGGTTGCCCAACTGGCACCTCAGAGCCAAACTGAGGTTAAATCTTTACTGTTTCACCCACAGCAATGACATACGGTGACAGGGATGGGCTAGGTGTTTCCTGGGACCTCAGTCCTATTGATAAGTGGAAGCTTCTTATGACTGCATAATAAAAGCCATTCTGGGTCACCACAACTCCCTGCTCAGCCCGGTACACCTCCCAATGGCTGTGGGAGATGCTGTTCAAGCAAGAAAACATGAACGTGGCCACTTTCTGTAGCCCTTTTCCTCATCCACCACCAGCACCTGGGCTACTGCATTAGGGATGATAGAAGGTATGTCCTTGCCTGGATATCTCTGTA